TACTTCTGCCTGTCTCAGCCGCTACCTCTACCTCTGCCTGTCTCAGCCGCTACCTCTACCACAGCTTCTGTCTCAGCCTCTACCTCTACCTCTGCCTGTCTCAGCCTCTACCTCTACTTCTGCCTGTCTCAGCCGCTACCTCTACCTCTGCCTGTCTCAGCCACTACCTCTACCGCAGTTTCTGTTTCAGCCGCTACCTCTAGCGTTGCCTCGGCGGCGGTGCACACCTACCCGCTTGCGGTCATAGCCGGACCGCTCCTTGGCATGACCGCGCTCGTCGTCTGCTGCTCCCGGACCCAGCCTCGGGCTCTGCGGGGGTAGCACCACAGAATCATGTAGCGAGGGAGGAGGAGGAGACGCGTGAGACGGACGGACGGGCGAGCCGCCCGCTCCCCCCGGCGCGACCTCCACACGCCGTGCACCGCCGCCGCCGGCACGACCTCCACACGCCGTGCGCCGCCGGCGCCGGCACGACCTCCACACGCCGTGCGCCGCCGGCGCCGACCTCCGCTGCAACTCAAAGCTCCAGCAGAGTAAACGCGCGTCGGCGCGGCTCAACGATCCGCCGCAGGAGGTGCGAAGATCAGAGGCGAGGGCGAACGGTCGATGCGCGCATGTTCCACGGCAGAACAACAGAACGGTGAACAACGATCACGGGTATTAGTACGGATTGTGTGAAGTTTTCATGCTGAACTGTTGTGAAGACGATTCACGTAATATCGTAATACATCTACTGTTACCGAGTTTTACTACGACCCCAATCTCAGTCCTAACTCTACCATCGCTCTGACAATGCACCCTCCCTCCCCCCTTACGTATGGACAACACCAGCAATGTACGGGTCATAGTGACCGTCGCCACGACAACTCATGCAGTCGCACGGGCCAGAGAGAAAGAACAAGAGAACAGTCGTTGAGACAAGTGATGTGATTCGTACTTACGCACTGGGGCGAAGCATGACACCGCAGACTCGATCTAGCACCCGATTGTTCACCGGTCCCACCATACGAGGGAGCCACTGCAGCACACTCGATGCGCACTCTCTCTGGCGCAAACCATAGACACGCAGACCACAGCAATGACCTTGATCCTCCGACCACAGTGACCTTGACCTCGTGGCCTCCAAAGCCCACGGATTTCTCGGCAAACACCAGGGGGCGCGACAAACCACACAGACGGATGGCACTTCCTTGTTATCAGCTTGATGGAGTCAATCAGGCGCAACAACAGTAGGGACCAGCCTTCCTCGCCACACACAGCACAGCCTGCTGATACAACGTCCCGCCACACAACGAATAACCACAATGACAACAGGAGCCAGCTCCTACATCTTTCAACAAGGATCAACAGGATCCACCTCTTCCATCTTTCAACAAGATCAACAGGATCCACCTCTTCCACCTTTCAACAAGATCAACAGGATCCACCTCTTCCATGTATATTGTAGACTGAAGGCAAAATACAGGGAGAATAACCACCAACTTAACGCACAACTGGTACCTGTCATTGCTACGGATAGATATCCCGATACCAGCTATCCACAATGCATTGCCTTTACAAGCATCTTGTATTCTCAATGTGCAACTCGGCTGCATAAGATCAGATAGTGTGCACACGACAAACCGACGCCATGCCGGCACCACCACTCAGCAAGTGTTAAACATAGCGTTAATAGAGACCCCACCTTGACCGAGAAACATGCCGAGCAGTTAACGAACATGACGTCGCATATACAAAACTATATCAGTGCATCAGTGCAGAACGTACATCCACACAATAGTCAACGGTTACACAGCTCTACGTTGTCAAATCGATTTCAGAAAGACGGCGCAGCGTCGGTGCTCGACAGGAGAACCTTTCCTCGCTCCTTCTGTGCTGCATTCGCCGCGGCGTTGCGACGGTGGCTCCACACAGTGGTCGAGGCGGCGCATCACTTCCGCGGCCGCTCCTTCTTCGTAGAGCTGGAATGCGGCGTTGAGCGCGCGCGAGTTAAGGTAAATACGGGGAGAGCACGACGCGACCCCCCTCCCACACCCTTGCCACCCTGCACACACACACACATCCCTGCCACCCTGCACACACACCCACACCCATGCCACCCTGCATACACACCCACACCCCTGCCACCCTGCACACACACCCACACCCCTGCCACCATGCACACATACCCCTGACACCCTGCACACACACACACCCACACCCCTGCCACCCTGTACACACACCCACACCCCTGCCACCCTGCACACACACCCACACCCCTGCCACCCTGCACACACCCACACCCCTGCCACCATGCACACACACACACCCACACCCCTGCCACCATGCACACACACCCACACCCCTACCACCCTGTACACACACCCACACCCCTGCCACCCTGCACCCACACCCCTGCCACCCTGCACACACACACACCCCTGCCACCATGCACACACACCCACCACACCT